GAAGCTTCAAATCATATCTAATTACCTCTTCTAAATTCAATTTTTTGTTCAAATAAGCACTTCAAAGTTCAGTTGCATGCGGGAGGCATTAACACCAAAAATTGAGACCAGTTGTGTTATGTACTGTATAAGGCACACATCACGTGTACTAGAATACTAGTCATATCTTAAATAGGGACAAACAATAAACCCGCCTCATTTATAATTATAACCATTTTTCTGAGATATTGCATGTTAAATATATTTTGCTTTTGTGACATGTTTTAAGGTCAATAAGGAAATATGAGAAACGTGTCAAGTGTCTGATTTGGTGTCGAACATGCATCTTAGTAGCACTGGAAAGTGAAGGATTGTAGTCAAGGATACAGGTTATCTTAAACTGAGTTCATACATAAGGGGGTTTATCTGTGATCTATCTTTTAATTTATGCTCTGGTCGATTGTCTTTTTCTTTTAATGCTGAACTAGTTCAATTTATTTCTTGAAGCTTTTAGAGGTTAAGCAAGCGCATGTGTTAGCACATTTTATCAAAGTGTTTTGTCATAGTAGACCCCCAAATCATTGTTAATTCTACATCAGACATTCAAATATTCCTATTTCTAAGGTATACTCCCAAATCTTCATATTTGTTCGAAATTTGGGTGTATTACAAGGTAAAAATTTAGTAGATGTCAATATTGTATTGACCAAATATCACTTGGGTCCTTAATGTTCGGAAGTCATCACTGGGATTCCCTAAAGTTACCTTCATCATCAGCCTAGATTCTCTTTACCAAATTCTGCTAAATACGGCTAATATGACTAGGCTGTGGCCCACTGCCACATTAGTAAAAATAAAATGCCAAGTTCAATACGAACCTATAATTTACTATCTTTTTTTTAACAATAGCGATGTGGCAGGATAAACCTTGACTTCCACTATTTTTTGTTGACATGGTAATGCCACGTCATCATGATGTTAGCCATATTTAAATGAAATTTATAAAAGAGACCTAGTGAGAAACGAAAGCATATAGATCTGTTGAGACTCATTCTTTTGATAAAATAAAATAAAATTATAAATATTGAAATTGCACTCTTCACATACTAGCTGCAAATCACATGCAGATTTCTCACAAGCATTGTTCTCTCCTTCCCCTCAAATGAAAATGTACAATCATTACTTGTAAAACTAAAATAAGATCTAATAGATAACATCAATTCACTCATCATAACAAAATAAGAGATTCATTCCTACTAAATAACAAACTAAATCCTAATTAAAGATCTCTACCAAAAGAACAATATATCCAAACCTCAATGAGAAATTCTAATCCAATCACATCAAATCTTTTTGCCAAATTAAAATCTGAATCTGTCATGCATCTGGACCACGTCGATGACAGAGGTAGCCTTAGGGATCCACACTAATGATGTCCAAACATTAAGGACCCAAATGATATTTAGTCGATACTTCATGGACCTCCACGAAACTTTTTCCCTATTAAAAACAACTTAGTAGATTTTGGGAGTATGAAATAAAAATATGGGGTTGTTATTTAAAACACTTAAAGGATTGGGGTCTTATTTAGAAATATGAAGGCTTTTTTTGGTTTTTTCTTTTTTTGTTGGGGTGGGGGTGGGGGTGGGGGGGTTACTAATATAGAAACAACAAAGATTTCAGTGTCTAGCAGAACAAAACCCCCAAGGTTTCGGTGCTTATAGAACAATGAAGATACTATATAGTAGTTTTCATGAATAAATTCACCTCAGAAACATACACTTGCATGGGAGGAAGTCTTGCTAGTATCAAGCGATGCATTATATTTAGAATTTTTGCGTTTATTTACTAGATGAAGGTAACACCATTCTGTCTAATTTGTTTTGCTTTTATTTTTTATTTTTTGTTTTGTTTTGTTTTGTTTTTTGTTTTGTTTTTTTGTTTGGTCTCTCTAGTGGCATATTGTGAAGCTTTTAAGTAGACAACAATTAGGAATTCCAATCATAGTCTACAGATACAAGTTCAACTTTTATCCTTTACTTGAGTTTTTTTCACACTTTTGAAGGCAAACCCACTTGTATCCAATTTTTTATTTATTTACAACTAATTATCCAAGCCGATTTCCCTACCAAATCTGCGAGAGTAAAATCAGGAACCTCCCATTTAAGAGGAAGCAGTGTTGCCTGCAAGATGTGAATCATATGCTTCCAATATTTGGATGTTGATTCGATGAATTTTTAAACCTAGGAGGTTATAAATGGGCTTTAAGGGTTTATTATGTTCCTGGGGAAGCATATTATGCTCGCCCTGGGCATTTATATATGTTTCAGGATAGCTACTAGCATGAATTATTATTTGTAATGAACAAATTATTCTAATGTGCAGGGAATTGCGAATTCTGTCGGTGATTGGTACTTTAATCGGGTGACAGTTAAAGCAATAGATTGTCCATACCCCTGTGACAAAACATGTCACAATCTCGTGTCCAGGCAAGCACATTAGCTTCATTAAGTCATGCCATCATATTCTATTTGAGGTTGCAAGGAACTGCATTTCTTATTGAAGGTCGTAAAATAATAAAAGCACGAGGGCTGATCAGAAACGGTACTGAGATCCAGTTCTTGCTTGCTAGAGCTTGGAGTTTAGCCCATGAAAATGACATTCTTCATTGATTTAATGTATAATTCCTACACTAATACCTCAATAGAAGACTGATTATATTTAAATTAGATGGTTTCAATTTGCTTTATCATAACCTTGTGTAAGACGCGCGCGCGCACACAATTGCACACTGGCCTGTACTTAATATGTAGTCATTCAATTGAAATGAAAAACAAAGCGCGCGGAAACACAATGTTGGGTTCATGTTGTATCTTGGTAGATGTAAATCTTCAACATTGGTGCGAAATGTAGAACTTCATGCCTTATTAAGACCTTTCTATTCCTCAAGTTTCTCTTTGAGTGCCCCTTGAGCCCCTTGAACAGATCGAAGGTCAAGGATCGTCCTTGGTTTTTCCCTCCTTCCCATAATGATTTTTGTTATGCTTTTTATTTTTATTATTTTGGTTGAAGATAAAGCCCTTGATCATCTCATGATGACTCTTGGTGCTTGAGTAGGTCCAACTTTAAACAGATCGTGCTTCTCTTCCATTCCCTAGACTTTTTTTATTTATTGACATTTCCCTATTAGTTTAGTTTTGCCCTTGTCATTCCAATGTACTTCATCAAACTGTCCTATTCTCTGCAGGCACAAACAATTGAGAATAAGTCATCTTGACTCGTGACAATTATTATGTATTTGGTCTCCTATTATCTCACGCTGACATCATGATGGTGTGAGCCCCGTATGCACTACTATAGACACGAGAGAAGGAGAATGAACTACTGGCATTTCTCATCTTCATTATCAACTTGAGGAGAATTTTTCAGATAATCCAAATATCCTTGTCATTGAGCCATGTATGTGCACACGCAGGACGATGCAAAACTCTCCGATGCACGACATCCATTGGTAACCAAGCGTATGTAGGTTCAGCACGAACACACGATAATGTACAGTGCATATAGAGGTAATACAATTTGGGGTCAGAATAAAATCTATGACAACAACCTATACCCCCTTATTTCAAGATTTTGAGGTCATTCCGAAAATTCCTCGTAGACAATTCAGCTGCCTCTATTAAGAGCTTTCGCCCTTATCCAAGTAACAGGCTGCTAACACTTCTACTGCTTCTACTAAATTCTTTATAAAGGAAGAAAAATGTTCCCTTTCTTTTCATTTGGTCTATCCGAGCGTACCTAACCACTGAATTTTGCTTCTAGGAACAATTTTCTTAAAATTGCGAGGATAGCACGAGTATGTTAATTTGTCACGTCATTCGGGTTTCATCTGATGTCGATGTACTGATTAATGCAATATTACTAGTAGAATGCGATGGAGCGGCTTGCCTGTATTTGTACGAGTGCTTACTTTTCTGCCAGTGATTGGAGTCAAATATCTCAGTTTCAAAAAATTAACATATATAATACTCATTTTGGTCATCTGATTAATTAAACACCAGTCTCAATCAATTCACGATTGCTGTGAAGTTTCTTTCCATCTGATGTTCGATGTCAATTTATTCCCCCACCAAAAAGGACATAGAAATATGTAGGAAATAATGGAATTTAATCTTAAGAGGCAAGGAACTAATCCAAATCGGTTGCTGTAGCTGTTAGCCTGTCACTGCAGCTGGATTTTCAAATCCTTCGAGTGTACCAGAGATGGTGCTAAACAATCCAAGAAGCCCCAACACTAAAATGCTAGATGAAAATACAGGGAAGCGTCTTTTGATAATAATTTTGCACTAGTCATTTATTTGGTTCAGTTTATTATTTTGACCGATTGAGGACTTGTAATGTAACCGCTAATATAAAGAGATAGTCGGCTGATACGGTATCAATCTAATGAAATCCAATTCTTAGTGATCGGCCAAATTAGAATGCTGCACGGTGAAGAGTCAAAAACTGAAGGGTACACGAGTTTCCCACTGAGCTGCCTTCTTTCTTTTGGAAGACTAGAAACGGAGTGAATGAAATTTTGAAACCAAACCCCTTTTCAAACTTATATTTATAGAAAACGGCCCATTTGCATCTTATTTGTCAAAGTTTTGAAGAAAAATTGTCCGAAACTTCACGGGATTTCAAGTCACGTGAAGTTTTGTTATGTAAAAAAACTTTTACTGGACTTCAAGTCCCGTGAAGGTTGGTATTTTTTTTTCCGCCGAAACCGACCCAGTTTCAGCCATCTGGCTGAAACTGGGTCGGTTTTGACAAATAAGTTGAGAACACGTCGTTTTTTATAAACAAGTTTCAAAATGGGTTTGTTTTCAAAATTTGTCCTAAATCTAATCGACCAGCTATCATATGAGAAGGAAAAGAGGCCCTCAGATATGCTTCATGTCCCAAGAAGTTGACCGAGTATGGTGCTATTAGTGGCAACAACAGGAATCATGGGAAAGAAACAACACCCAGAAAGCGAAGAAGGAAAAAAAAAGGAAAGTAAAGGAAAAAGGGGAACGACTGTGATTGATTACAAGATAATGGCAATCTTTTAAGTTACAAATAAATGAAAAGGGTAATGGGGGGGAAAAAAGGAGAAGAAAAACACATCATTTGAAGAAGCTTTATTCTGCAGCGAGTCCCATCCGACAGAAGAGCTGAAGGTTCTGTGTATCATGAGGCCGCCCATGTACACGAGCGAGCGAGCGAAACATAGTTTATAGCATGATGCTCCTATATATAAAAACTCTTTAGAAGAAGCCTCCCTCATTTCGATTTGGACTTTCAAAAAAAAAATGCCAGCTTCCCTCGTCTTCACCTCTGTCTTTTTATCTACCATCATCATGTAGTAGACTAGTAACACGCGACTTCAGTAAATTAAACCTGTTCAAAGGCGGCGGTAAGTTTGTGGATATCCTTACCATGGACATCAGAATCTTGCAGCTGGTGTTGTCGACGTTGGTAGTTGTGCCAAGTGCTCAGCCCGTCGTCGACGGTGAACTGGCTTTCCTCCTTAATCTCGCCGTACATGATGGCTTGGCTTTGGTTTTGTACGGTTGCCGGAGCCTGAATCGAGCTGTTCAGGAATTCTGACCATTTAAGGTCTTCAGGTTCGCCTTGAAGATGGAATTGAGCCTCTTTATACGAACAGAGGTCCATCCACTGAAAGATGCCTCCGTCGAAGAGAGAAGTATCGCTCTGCAATTCAATCCCGCTCCCACTGTTGCCGCTGCTAGTGCTGTTATTGCTAGATTTGCCGGCCTCCCAGTAATGGAATCCTGCTGGAGAGCCGTCCGAAGGGAGATGAGCCGGCAGCTTTGAGGTTGAAGTGGAAGGACCCGTGCTAGGCAGCGCGGTTGAATTTAACTCCTGATTCATACCGACAAGTCTGGAGTTCTGGCTGAACCACAGAGACGGGTTTTGGTTGGTCGGCGGTCCGAGCCCGTATTCGGGACTGTAAGTGAGCTGGGGGAGAGGGAGGTAGCCCAATGAATCAGCGCCACCATTGTTGGCGGCGGCCGTGTAGCGGTCCAGAAATAGTTCTTTGGTGGGTGTAACTGAATTCTTTGATCTTGGGCTCTCGATTGGCATCAGCGGCGGAGTTGGTTCGGAAACCGAGGCCGTGTCGCTGCTGTCAGCAAGCAGTTTGGATTCCCGGGCCTCGGTCTCGGAGAGGGGTTTGTGGGTGACGGGGTCGATTCCTCGCTGCCTCAGCTTCTTCTTAATGCTGGAATTCCATAGGTTCTTGATTTCGTTGTCCGTCCTTCCAGGCAATTGCGCCGCAATCTGAGACCACCTGCAGGTTAGGAACGGGATCATATATATATACCCGGCCGGTACAGGATAGATAGATCGCGCTAACGTGCATTTTAATCAGAGGTTTGGAATTTTAATTAGTACCTGTTGCCCAGGACGGCATGGAGTTCGATAATGAGGTTCTCTTCCTGCTCTGAGAACGTCCCCCTCTTTAAATCAGGCCTCAGGTAGTTTATCCACCTAAGCCTGCAGCTCTTCCCGCACCTCTGAAGACCTGAACCAGTTTTTTCGGATTTAGAAAAAAGAAAAACCAAGCACGTGAACATTAATTTGGGAACACCAAATTAAACACGCACGCATCGATGAGATATATAGTACGTACGTCGAACCCATTTTCTCATTAATTTTCTCTGTGAATTAATTATTGTCGTCTGAGAGAGAGAGGCCGATTACCTGCTTGTTTAGGGACGGAGCTCCAACAACCATGGCCGTACTTGGTGATGTGGTTGAAGAGCTTCTCGTCCTCCTCTGGAGACCACAGACCCTTCCTTAGCTTCTGTTTATAGCAACAGGAGTGCCTCCCCATATCCTAAACTCAAATGCAACTGCGGTATTCGAGCCGCCGCCTCCTTCTTCTTCTTCTTCTCGGAGAGCTGTTGATGAGGCTAGAGGAAGAGAGGGGGCTGGGTGAGAGGGAGAGGGAGAGGGAGAGGGAGAGGGAGAGAGGAATGTGTGTGAAAACGATGGAGGAGAGAGAGAGAGAGAGAGAGAGATCAAGGAACGGAATTAAGAGAAGGAAGGGTTGAGCTATAAAAGACACAGGAAAAGTCACAATCAATCAAGTGGGGTTATTAGGATTATATATTATAATTAGTTTTTATTATCCTTCTGGCCTCTTACCTGTTCCATGTTGGGGTAAAGGAAATCAAGTTAAATTCTCTACTTTACTGATCTCGATCGGAAGCCTACAAGTTCCTTGAAACTGATGAAGCAAACCAAAAATAAGTTAACAGGTAATTACTGGAGGGAGAGAGAGAGACTAGCAGTAGTCTGTGAAGTGAATGAGCCTTGTTTGTATTGTATTGTATCGTATTATCATCATCAATATAGAAATCCAATTCTAACCTTTTCCGACTAGCTACTCTTAATTGTTACATCACCTCACGACTTCCAACCGCCAATTATATATATAAAAAGGAAAGGAAGGTAAAGCTGCTTTCTTTCATGGAAGGGAACGGGATGTTCCCGTGATTAGTTAAAGAGCACGTCAACGTGGTGGTTAGCTTGTACACACACACTCTCTCTCTCTCTCTCTCGCCCCAGTTTTGGGTTGGAGCAAAAAAATCAGAAAACAGATGGAAGAGCATATGCATTTAAGTCCAGAGATGTATGTATGATCTTTGTGTCAGATGGGACGTTTTCCTTTTCTGGCGTTTTGGCCAGATCCCCTGAAACTAGCATCCCCTTTGGAAAGCTTCACGCTTGGGGGAAGAGCAAAAGTACATCCCATCTTTCTACATTCAGAGGCATCTTCCTATTTTCTACGTCTTCACAATTTCAATATTTTGAGATTTAGTAGTAGGTCTCTCTTCCCTTTTCCTGGATAATTAACAAACGCCCCCATGACTTCAATTTTAATTAATGGAAGGGAATATATACATGTATATATATATATGTATCCTCTATTACACTAGTCGCCCCCACACCCTTAGCTCAAATTAGACATACGTCCAGTTGTTTCTTGTTTATAACATCGCCCCGAGTCAGTCCTATCCATAAAAGAAAAGCTGCAAATTTAAGAGGACTTACTGGAAATGCTACCCCAACTTTAAAACTTTCTTGAAATCCTCTTCGTGAAAGCACGCATTTGGTGGTGGTCTCATTTTGTAGCATTAACTATCAAGGACGCGCGGCGATCCTCACGGCTTCAATTCTTCTTTTCTTTGATCTTTCCTCAAGGCTCAATTGTTGGTTTTGTATCAAACTTTTTTTTATCTTAGTATCATTATATATAAATCTTTATGAACAGGGTATCTCACCTTGTTTTTCAGTAAAAAAAAAAAAAGAGTACACGCTGCGATCCTCCACTTTCGTAGAAGAAAAGATTTTTTTTTTTTTTTTTTTTTTTTCCTAGGCTTTAACAGTAGTTTTAGTTGGTGGTTCATGTAAGCACTGTTTGTCAGCAGTTAACTGAATTAATCAGGGAGCTGAGTTCGTAGAATGGAGGTATCAAGGGAATAGATATTTGTAACACACAGTTCAAGGTTTATTACCTATAACAACACTGCAGCTGTCCTTTTTTCATCCGTGTAACTGTAAGCGAATAAATTAACACTCGGGTAAGTTTTAACAATCCGAAGAGAAACTCGCGTATCGTGTTCCTTGAATTAGATCATCTCTGTAATTATTTCATAGAGGGAAAGAAGGTCGTTTATTTACGCTAGTGGGATGCACGTTTGGATAAATTTACTGTTACATGAACAAGATTTCACGTGTCCGTCAATTCACAAAATTTTATATTCTCAATGCATACGTCTTAATTTCATCCGGACCAAATCGAGTGGGTAATTCTTGTGAGCTCCTGAACCTTATGTTGGTGCCTATGGCGAAATCTGGAATGAAACGGGTATAAATCAGTGAGAAATGAAAGCAACTGTAGTGTTGTATTTTAAAACTTAATTTTTCAAGTTAGTTGCTGTGCGTTTGTGAAACATTGTGCTTAAAGCAATATTTGGCATACTCCGGTGCAAGGATCCTAAGGCCAAAATGCTTCCAGAAACAGCAGTACAATACAATGGTGTGCACTAACCAAGTACTGTCAAGATCTTCTCGATCTATAAGACCTTTCGGTTAAGACAACGATCTCCTCGATCTGTTAAAACCTTTCGGTTCAAAACCTTTCGGTTTAGGCAAAGATCTATCGATCTGTAAAAAACCTTTCGGTTCGGGCAAAGATCTATCGATCTGTAAAAACCTTTCGGTTCAAACAAAGATATTTTGATCTGTAAAAAACATTTTGGTTCAGGGCTAAATTCCTTCGGGCACAGACTAAAACTTGCACGCTTTCAAGCTCTACAGCACAAACACAACAACTCGAACACTTTAGTGTGTTTTTCGTCTATGTCAAGAGCTGCCCCAATGGGCACTATTTATAGGCATCTAAGGCCAGCTCAAGGGTCACCCACAGTCAATTTGACTGTTACAAATCATAATGACAATTATGATAATTATGATTGTAACAACAAATGACTTAATTGTTGTAACTGCTGCACGCAGTAACGCCTGAATGCGAGGGTCGCGTTTCTCGCACCCTCGCGCGAACGCGAGGGTCACGTTCCCTCTTGCGAACGCGAGGGTAATGGCAGCCAACGTGGCGCCTGCGAGACAGCTAAGTGCAAAGTGCGCCTTACAAAGCGTCACTAAGCGCCTCAGCCCGATTAGCCCCGATCCCCGGCCCACGGCACAAGACCCATGACCCACAGCCCACGGCCCACGACCCACGAGTACTTATGAGTGATTAATTTAATTATTTAAATAAAAAACAATTATCGGCTTGTCTATGGCAAGCCTCGTGCACAGTTACTTTTGAAACACTAAATTTTTTTACTTTTCACTACGCTACTAAGGATTTCTGAAAAATACTAGTAGCTAATAAATATATATAGTACGGAAATTTATTTTTGTAAAAACAGTTTTTGACCAAAAAATCCGACACCTTTGGCACCAGAATGTATCAATCAAATCTTCTCATAGTTTGTGGATGGAAAGCATGTGAATAAAATAAGGCAAGGTCTACACCTTATATTTGTAATTAATACCATTTATCACCAATGATTAGAAGTATACAAAGGGGAATGATTGTGCCCATGTGAGCCTGAGTAAATTTGGATTAAACAAACTGGGTGACTATGAGATTTTTATAGTATTAGATTCTGACCATCTTTGTGCGACTCTCCTCACTGGGCCCCCCGAAGGGAAAAAGCAGACATTTTCTTTTTTAACTTTTCAACTCGGAAATCCTTGCTGTTTCCAGCTAAATATCGGGGCCCATCGACAACAAAATGTTTCTGAGCCTTGACAAAATGGAGCGCACATAAATCCAGTTTCATCAGTAAACATCAACTATTCTCGGTTGGAAGAACAAATAAGAGAATCACAAATATTAGCAGAAAAACAATAAAATTTGTAAGAGATGATATTATGCTATTTAGACATTAGCTGTCCTGCCTTGTCACCGTCTTAAGGTGCCAAGAACCTGTCCAAAGAGCATCTAATTAATTAAGAAATAATGATCTTATTAATTAAAGTCTTCTTCTTAGTTTAAAGTTGCTCTGGTTTTTTAATTGAGGGTGCTCTGTGTGTCGTAGAATTATCTCTAATTATCGACTTTAATAGCTTAATTTGTTAGAGTTCCAGCTGTTCGTTTCACCCCTTCATCTCAACCTTCTTCTAGTTAAGGTTGGCTTTTGGAAAACACATCCTCAACATTATCACCTAGGAATCTAGAGATTAGGTGGGGTTTTCTCCCCCCTTTCCTTCCTTTCCCCCCGGCAAACAGTGTTGTTAGTAACCGCTGTTTGCTACCTGACATAATCGAGATTAAATCTTTAATCCACTACAATAATTAGATGCTCCTATTTCTGTTGTTTTTTAAAGTTTCAGTATATTATATTTCTCTGACAGTTTTCCACTTTCCACCTTTATTAGTTACCTTGTCTCTGGCAGAGATGAGCGCTAATTAATGATGCAAGTTTAAGGTTCGTGGTCACTCGAGAAACCGCCAGTTCTTGTATGAAAATACGGATACTCATGTACTGAGCTCTTTGTTTTCACATACCGACAGGAACAAATTTCAACAATGGGTAGTAATTGTTGCGCGGCGGCGGAAGCGTGCGCACAAACCAAACGAGCCGTGAAGCAATGAGAGGAGAACAACTAACGAGTGCGATTCACAAAAGAACGGCCAAAATCACACACAAACACAGATATTTACGTGGTTCGGCAAATTGCCTACGTCCACGGGGAGATGATGGGGAGATTTCACTATATGGAGTAGAAAAACAACGGGTTACAACTCACTCAAACACTCAAAATAACCCTAACCAATGATCTCTTACTCCCCCACAATAATCTCCCTCTCAAAGTGCTCAAACTAATCTAAATTCTCTGATAAAAATCCTAGAAAACGTGCTTGCTATATATATAAACACCCAATCCAAAATAGGCTAGGAAAGCAAAATCGGCCCAATAACCCGCTATCAGTCGACTGATGGTCCCTCATCGGTCGACTGAATGTGTATCAGTCGACTGATAGTCATGATGAGGGTCCATCTGTCGACTGGTCAGAACACCAATTTTGGACCCTGTAATCGTGCATGTTGTCGGTCGAGTGATCATGTTCGATCAGTCGACCGACTCGAAACTCCTGTAGAACTTCTTGTGATCGAATCGATCGACTGATAAGATCCGACCAGTCGACCGATGAGCCTCCTCCTGTGCATGTCTTGTTTTTCTTCGCCATTTTCAACAATTCGAACAATTCATCGCCCTTTTCTATAATTTTCCACCTCGGCGAAGGTTTCCCAAAACTGAGCTGACACTAACATGAGCACCAATGTGTCGTTTCTCCAAACTCGGCTGCACCAATGTGGTTGCCTACGTACCCCCTCTCCCAAGGGATCAAGCCACCTGTAGTTCATCCAAATGGTCTCAAAAAGCCTCAACAAGCACAAATCTGCAACAAGATTCTACAATGATCGAACTTGTTGCTCGGGACCACCTTCGTGAGCATATCCGCTGGATTATCTTTTGTGGGGATCTTCATAAGCTCCACATCCCCATCTTCAAGAACATCTCAGACGAAGTGATAACGAATATCAATGTGCTTCGTCCTCGTATGAAAAACCTGATTCTTCGCTAAATAGATAGCACTCATGCTATCACAATGAATGATGACAGATCGCTATGAAA